AGAGGTCCTGAGTTCAGTTCCCCTCACAACCATCTTTAATGGGATCAAATTCCTTCTTCTGGAATGCTTGAAGACAGAGCACACTCATATACATAAAGTACATATATACATACATACATACATACATAAATGAATCTTACAAAAAAAAAAAAAAAAGGTCTTTTCAGCTGCTTTAGAGGTGCATGCCTACATTCCAGCACTTGGGAAGCTAAGTCAGGAGGTTCTCGAGTTCAAGGCCAGCCTAGGCTACAGCAAGGTGCTTTTTCAAAAAACAGAAACATTGCTTTTCAAAGGAGAAACCCAAGCCATTCAGGTGCAAACACATTTAGCCGGAAGGAACAGACAGAGCCTGGGAGGGACAGATCCAGAAGGAGCAGGCCTTAGCAGCTGCTGCCCAGCCTGTCTGAAGGACTCAGTCTTGGTGGACAAGGCAGGTGTAGCCAGGGGCTGTTCCCATGTCAGCAGCAAGAGAAGGAAGAATCCAAGGCTGGGGATCTTTTGACAGCATGCTTCCCGGGGTGTCATTCTTGCTACTCTTGTGGTCAAAGTTCTGGGTTTTCTGGGAGGGCACCCAGCCAGCTGTCTCCCTTACATACATCTGGACTTACTACGCTGGCTGTGCCATTGCTCAGACTGACTACCTCGGCTAGTTAAGGCACAGTAAAACGATGCTGTATTCCTCAACGATGGCCTCCCTTGCCCTGTTTCTTTTCTCTCCTCCCCTCTCTTCCTTCCTTCTGGATCTAGGAAATCCTAGAACCTTGGGTAAACTGTTAAGAACCAGCTAAGGCACTGTGGAGCCTGCAGGGAGCCAGTGTGAGGAATTACAAGGGCAGTGTGGGAAGTGTGGCTTTCACTTTTTCCCCTCTTGGCTCGCCTCCAGCTTGTAGATAAGGGCCCTGGCACCCTCATGCTGATGACAGGGAGCGGCAACTACTGAGCAGACCTTTTAATGAGGAATGAAGCAGATGCTGCAGCTCCCTCTGCAAAATCCTCCTGAGTTCTGCAAGGCCAGCATCTCGTGTCCCAAGGACAAACAAATTTTGTGTTACCTGTGGAGGGGAGTACACTGCAGAATTGTATGGATAGGAGGAATGTTCTGGAGTTACAGACAAAGACACAGGACCCCTGGAGACAGGAGAAAGCTTGATTCTGACTGAGTAGATGGACCCTTTGTTTGGGAGACAGAAAGGAAGGAGACAGGATGAGTCTGTGGGTTATGTGCTGTGGTCCAACTGCTTCTTGCTCTCTCTGCTTTCCATCACGTGCTACGGATGGAAGAGGAAGAGATGAGCAGGTGGCGAGTGGTCTGGAGGTCCTGCTTTGAATGAATACAGGGATGTTACTGGGCTTGGAGAGTAGCTGAGCTTAAACCCTACCAACAAGCTAGGCTGGCATGCCCCAGCCCAGTTTCGCTTAAAGGACATGAAAGCAAACTTGTGAGAGATTGCATGCTTCCCATAAACACTGGAGAATAACGTCCAAGCACAGAGTGAAATGTGTGTCTGGGTTGGTCCTGATTCATCACTTTGCGTGTAGGTGGGGTATATAGCTTCTCCTGAGCTAGTGTTCTCTCTGATAACAAGTGGAAAAATATGACTTGGGGCGGGGGCAATATTGGGGAATTGAATGTGTGACGTAAGCACTGAGCTACATCCCTATCCCCATAAATGTGATTTAAGGGCATCAAAGAGCTACAGAATGATGACTCCAGAGATCAAGATTCTAGAGAGATGGGACCACTCAGAGGCAAGCTGGGCAGCCTCTCTCCTGTCAACATTTGCCAGTTCTAGATACAGGCTGAAAGCTGGGGCTTGGCTCTGGCAGAGATACTGCTGGGGGGACGGGAATCAACACTTAGCAGTGGCCAAAGATAGGAAACTAAAGACTGAGGAACTTCAAAATGGCCGACTCCCTCTCCCCCACCCAAGACATTTTTCTTAATTTAGAGTGTATAGAAACCAAGTTCCTGCCAAGGGTTTACAATACACAAAAACATGGAAGTCCCAGAGAGTATGGAATGGACACTGGGACACCGGGCTCCTACACACCCTGTCACCTGGGCACTTACTGACCAGGGACAGCTCAAGACTGTACGCAGAGCTGGGTCCTGCAGAAAGGCTACTTCTGGTAGAGAAACCAGTGGAGATCTTGATGATCACGTGACTTAAATGACAGAAGGGGAGACTTGAGTAACCCCAAACACATGACCAATTTCCCCCTCACAATTTGCTGTTTGGGTGGGCACTTGGTAGGTAGAGGCAGGGGCATTAGGAGTTTAAGGTCATGCTCAGCTACAGAGCAAGTCTGAAGCCAATATGAGAGGCCAGCCAAGTTGGGAAGATATGTGGATTTCATAGGCTACAAAAGCAAGCTGGAAACGTCTCCCAGAGTACTGACTCCACAGTCCTTGAGGGCAGAGGAGATGAAGATGCCCATCTCTCTTTTGAACTCCTTAAAGAGCCTGCCCTAAGTCCAGGAGGGAACCAAAGGTAGACTGAATCTCATGGGAACTGAAACCCAGCCTGACCCAGTACTGCCCTGGGATGAAGGGATTTCCTGTCTGCCTAATTCACCCAGCAGAGAAGATGGGAGCTCCCTCTGGCAGATGGTCACATTCTATGGAGTCCTTGCATATTTCAGCATGAGATTTAAAAAAAAAAATGACTAGACCTGCAGAAAGGTGGGACCATATGCCTTGAGTCAGGAGGGGAAATCAGATAATGTAAGCTTCAGAGATGGTCCAGGCATCAGCGTATGCATCAAGGACTTTAAAACAAATACATTAATATGTTGAGGAAATAGAGAGGAAATGAATAAAACAGGCAAAGGGAAGAATATCCTCAGGGATTTAGAATATTGATTGATTTTGATTGAGACCTGGTCTCACAAAGTAGACCCTAACTGGCCTGGAATTCACTTTGTAGATGAGGCTAGCCTCTAGCTCACAGAGATCTTCCTTTATTTGCCTCCCAAATGCTGGAATTGAAGGTTTGCTCTACCATGCCTGGTCTTGGAATATATTTTTAAAATATCAAATATGCTAGATTTTAAAAATAACTCAATGAGGGCAGGAATGGTGGTGAGACCCAGAACTGGGGAGGCTGAAGCTGGTAGATGGTGAATTCAAGGGTAGTCTGAGCTACATAGCAAGCGCATCCCACACACACAAGGTACTGAGTGGTAGATTTAACTACAGATAGACCATATCAACCACCAAGATCAGTGAAATAGAAAGCAGATCTATCAAAAAATGCCCAGACTGGGGCCTGGAGAGATGGCTTAGTGGTTAAGAACACATAATGCTCTTCCTCCGGACCTGTTTTCAATGGCCAGCATGCATGTTGGGTGGTATTTCTCCAGCTTCAGGGTATCCAGCACCTTTGACTTCCACAGGCACTCAATAGACATACCCTCTCCCCAAACACATACACATAATTAAAAATAAAAAGTCGATCTTTAGAAAATGCCCACATTAAACCAGAGAGGGCCACGATGAGAAGGGGGTGTAACTGGTCAATGTAAGACATGCTCAGCACACTCATAAGGTCGAGCATATGTGTAACCGGAGTTACAGAGAGAGAGGGAGGAGAAAAGACACACAGAAGCCATCTGTGAAGAGAGTGGCTGAGAAGTTCCCAAAGTTGATGAGTTCATAGGTCAAAGAAGCGGAACTGATCCCCAAGCAGGATGAATAGGTCTTGCTCTCGGAATCAGTTAACCACTGCTTTGAGAGCCATACATTCACATTAACCACTGCTTTGAGAGCCATGCATTCATCATCCACACCCTTTTAACCACTTGCTGGTTTATGACCTTGAACAAGCCATTTGACTTTGTTGAGTCCCATTTTCCCCTTCTCTAAAGATAAGATTAGATAAAATACCTTATGAAAAATATATTAGACATTGTTTCATTTAAAGAAATAGTGCAGTGTGGCTAACTCAGGGAAAGCCTGTGAGGGGAAAGTCTGAGATCTGTATGCTACACTCTGTCAGCCTTCACCTACTGGCATTCAAGGAGCCCCTAAGGATGTGTATGTGACTGACCAGGGGCCATCTGGAACATGTTTTTTCCTTCCTTCCTTCCTTCCTTCCTTCCTTCCTTCCTTCCTTCCTTCCTTCCTTCCTTCCTTCCTTTCTTTCTTTCTTTCTTTCATTCGTTCAAAACATTGGACATTTACTTCAAGGCAACAATTCTGTTAACCAGAAATACAAAATTAGAAAACACATTGGGGGGGGGTAAGGGTGGGAGTGGTGGTGGCGCACGCCTTTAATCCCAGCACTCAGGACGCAGAGGCAGGCGGATCTCTGTGAGTTCGAGGCCAGCCTGGTCTACAGAGCGAGTTCCAGGATAGGCTCCAAAACTACACAGAGAAACTCTGTCTCAAAAAACCAAAAGAAAGAAAGAAAACACGTGCTCCATCTGACCCTTTCTCGCAGGCCTCCACTTCATTTTTCATTTGAGGTCAAGGGGTGGTAACGGCCAGCACCAGGCTCCTGCGCCATCCCTTACAATCTCCCTGCTCACACCAGTATGACTAGTCTATTTATTAGTTAGCCCTCTACCTACTCTCCTGATCAGAATCTTCTCTTTCCCCCTGGGAAGCAAAGGATGCTGCTGGAGGAAGTGCTAACTGTTTTGGCTGGATGTTAGCATGCCTGTGATTTCAGTCGGGAGGTGGGTGTGGTGGGGGGAGGGCAGTTCTTCTGGGAATGCACACATGACTAGCCTTTAAGGGCAGTTTGATACTCGGTATCTGTAGGGCAATAAAACATCAGTTGGGGAAGCCATTCTTCTCTTAGGAGAGATGCTTCCCTTTTGGTAATGTGAAATCAAGTGTCTGAAACTGCCCTTTCGCGTGGTTGTGTCTGCCCTGGTAAGAACAGCCCAGGAGCAAATACAGCATGATAGAGGAAGTCCCTGTAGCCCCGGGGTTTGTCGGGAGAAAAGGTCTGGTTCAGAGTTAACACTCGATCCTCCTGGGTGTCTCCTCGCAGGTGATCATAAACAGCACCATCACCCCGAACATGACGTTCACCAAAACCTCCCAGAAGTTCGGGCAGTGGGCGGACAGCAGAGCCAACACAGTGTTCGGTTTGGGATTCTCCTCAGAGCAGCAGCTCACGAAGGTAAGTGCTCCTCCCGGCAGAACTGGGAGTGGTTGGATGCCCTCTCCTCCATTAGCTGCCCGCTGTGGCGCTGGGGGTGAGGAGATGCCCTCTCTCAAACAGCAGACTCCTTGAAAACCGAGCACTCTGTGGAGGAAAGGAAGTTCATCTCCAGCAAATGCTGTTCCCTTGGAAGCCAGAGAAGCTCGACAGGCCCGGTTGCTCTTTGGGCACCCACTAGGCCACTTACCATTTCCTGGGGCCGAAAAATCTCCAGATCACAGAGTCCAGACACACAGGGCGAGACGCAGAGGAGTTGAGGTCAGGTATAGTTAGGATGGGAAATGTCCCCCCAGGTCATGCTGTTTGGGAAGGTTGTGGAATCTTCAGGATGTGGGGCCTCGATGGAGGAAGTGCATCACTAAGAGCCAGCTTTGAGATTTTATAGGTTGGCCTCACTTCCTGTCCACTTTCGGGGTAGCCAGCTTGTACCTCCCACCGCCATGCCTTCTTAGCCACAATGATCCGCACACACCCTTTTTTAAGCTGTGATCCCTTCCTCCCAAAGATCCCTTTGTCCACAGCAACGAAAAGAGTGACTAAGTTACCAGGGCTTTGGCTGTCTGGATGGGACTCTCCTTCTCCGCCCCACCCCGCTATGCTGGACCTGTGGACTGTGACTCCGCAGGGCGGATGCTGTAGTAGGGACAGGTACAGTGCCAGCCTGCTGCTCTGCTGGATAAAGCGTTCCAGGGACCTGAGGGTCCTCTGGCCAGCAGACCCTTGCTTCTCTGCATTTAAGAAGCAGCAGTCTCCACAGACTCCCCAGGCCTGCAGCAGCAGGATGTGGTCCATAAGGCACTAGATGGAGGTGTGAGGAGCAGGGTTGGCAGAAGCGTGGCCATCTCGTCTCAGAAGTATGATCCCTAGTGAAGTACTACTCTGGAGAAAGGGCGCCGTGTGGCCAGCTTCTCCGCGGAGCACTGTTCACTGTGCTCCACGATGCTCACTGCTGCTGGATGCTCTGTGGGGTCAGAGGTCATAGTCTGTGACCATGGAGAGCAGGAATGTGTCTTCTGGCACCATGGCCAGTTTATCCATAGGTCTTTTGATCCTAAGAGGTTGTACCTGGGCATCCACAGAGCCCTGGCTGCTGTGTAGCTTGAAAGATTGTCTTCTGAAGGTTGGGGATTTCTACGTGGCAGTCATGTGGCATATGACTGTTTTTAGCTCTCTGGTTGTACTTGAGCCCAGGAACATTGCTAGTTCCCAAGTCTTTTTGTCACTAGTTAGGGACAAAATTGTCCAACTCTGTTTCTTCCCTTCCCATACACCTCTGACCGTGACCATTTTCCAGGGTCCAGTGTAGATCTGAGTCCAGACCCCAGGGGTGCCCCACTGTCGTCCCAATGGCAGGAAGCAGCTTCAGCACTGGCACTGATGTGCGCCCCAAGGGGAGCTGCAGACACCTCACCCAGTCTTCTCTGATGTGACTGCTAGAAGCCAGCTTCGAGTGGTCTTGTCGGGCGTGCTGGGACTTCCGGATCTTATCTTGTGACCTTAGGAGGATTCTAACCCAAAAGTGGAGTGATCAGATTTGCATCTCAGATATTCTTTTTTTTTTTTTTTTCATCCCCTTTCTTAGAAGCAAGTCCGATTCAGTTCAGGGTAGAGCCGATAAAGGTTTGAGGAAGAGATGGAGAATTTTAAAGAACTTTTAAAAATTGACAGGTCTTTGTCAGACAGATGAGAGAGGCCAAGACTCTGGGATGATGATGGATGGATGCTGACAGTGTCCTCTTCTGAAATGGGGCGGGAGCAGGTGCAGTGTAATGGAGACCTCTGTCTGAAGTGGAGCATGGCTTTGTGTGCTTCCCAGCCCTGCCTGGTAGGGAGAGGAGATACCAGGGAGCCCCCCCCATCACCCAGCACTCATCCCCACACCTTCTTCATACCCGCAGGCCTCAGGCTGCTGGACAAGCATCTGGTGGTGTCTGGGACATCTCAGCACAGGCTTCTGCTTCTATCTAGGGCCAGAAGTTCCCTGGAGCCCAGAATAGCCTGAAAGAACCACTCATAGCTTCCCGGTCCACTCTCTTTCATTCTGTAGAGGAAACCAGGCAGTGAAGACAGACAAAGGGAAAACATCCGTGAAAAGGAATCAAAAGGAAAACTCCAAACAAAAGTAGGACAGAGTGTGAAAGTTCAGTTCTTCCTGCCTTGGAGAACTGAAAAGACCTTGATCCCTGCTACTTCCAGTTCCTCCCAGACGAAGAAAATGTCCTGTTATTAAGGAGGAGTGTCCAGTCTTCCTGAGTCACTCTGGCAACACTGGCATCTCTGCTCTGTGACTGTGACCTGCCATCATCACAGAGATTTCTGAAACAAGCTCTCAAATATGTCCTTTGTCCAAAATATTTCACATCAGCGTTTCCCTTCTCTTTGAAGGGAACGATTAACCACACACCGATAAATTGCCATGAACAGAGGCTAGCAGCCTTGACAAGTGGCAGTTAGCTGGCACAGAGGGAGCCTGGGCCTGAGGGGTTCCTGAGGCCTGTGTGCTGGGGGACAGCTGTGACTGAATATCCCTGACTTCTCAGCGCAGCCACCCACAGACCTACAGGGGGATCAGTAATCAGACGTTGTGGGCTGGACAATGAAACACCAGTTTGGACATTTTCACTTAAGAACGCTTTAAATGTACTTTTCTCTCTCCAGCCCCCAGAAAGAAAATAGATGCCTTGTGCTTAGCTTTCGTTTAGAAGGACCGCTCGACAGCCACCTCCCAGGAAGTATCACGCAGACACTTTCTGCTCTTTAGACAGGCTTTCCAAAAATAATAAAAGTTGTATATTCCTGGCTTGGAATTGGGGGCCGTGCGTCCACTGGAAAAGACACGATACTTCAGCCCACTGAGGAATGTTGGAATGGAGCGTGCATTCTCTGCTAAGATAAGGTCATGGAAAGAGACCAAAGGAGGTAGAACCAGGGAGGCAGAGACGGTCATTAACATTTGGTCTTTCGGCATCTGACCTCACATGCCCACTTCCTTCTCATTTATTGCAGACAGAGGAAACATGTGGTTGGTTTGAATAAGCACTATGTGGTTGGTTAGAATAAGAATGACCCCCATAGGCTGGTATATTTGAACGCTTACTCATCAGAACGAATAGCCCAGAATAGAATCTTCACTACTCTATGGTGGATACATCTCAACCCACATACCCATGTGGCCTTTGCCTTTGGCTTCCATAATTTAATCTGGGGTGTGGTGATTATCTTAAGTGTCAGCTTGACACAGAGGAGAGTCACCTGAGAAAGGTCTCAATGAGGGATTGCCTATGTTCGGTTGGCCTGTGGGTGTGTCTATAGGGGATTGTCTTAATCAAGTTCATCGATGTGGAAAGACCCAGTCCACTGTGGGCAACACCATTCCCTAGGCAGGAGGATCTCCACGGTGTAAGAGTAGGGAAGCTGAGCTGAGCACAAGCAAGCACGTGAGCTTGTGTCTGTTTCTCTCTGCTGTTGACTGTGGAGAGTTCCTGATGCTGTGACTGCCCCACAGCGGTAGGATAGAGCATGGAATTGTGAGCTAAAATGAGCCTTTTCGCCCGTAAGTTGTCAGAGTATTTTAACCTCAGCAAGAAACATGAATCTAGGGCAGGGGCCCAGTGAGATGTCTCGGGTTGATATAGGCGTCTGCCACCAAGTCTAATGACCCGAGTTCAACCCCCGGAGCCCACATGGTGACAGGAGAGAAATGACTCCTGCAAGCTGTTCTCTGACTGCCACATGCTTGTCATGGTGCATGTGTATACACAGTAAATAAATGCAATGCAAATTCTAAATGAAAATCATCTCTTGCCCACATGTCCCCTTACGTTCTTCCCTTTATTAATTCAGTATAGTCCTAAGAGTATGACCCAGCCTCCTGTCTCCTGGGCATCTCATCTAAAGGCCGGTTTTCTACCTGGGGGGCTGTGAGGCATTCTTCTAATATGTTTTAATTAGAGTGCTTTTGGCTACAAGTAACAGAAAAAAAAATAATCGCAGTGCTTAAAAGTATAGGATTATTCTTACTATGTAAAGAGAAGTCCTGAGACAGGCTGTTGCTAGCACTGTGTGGTTGGTTTGAATAAGAATGGCCCCCATAGGCTGATATATTTGAACACTTACTCATCACAGCGTGGCGCTATTTGAGAAGGATTAGAAGGATTAGGAGGTGTGGCCTTATTGGGAGAAGTATGTCACTGGGAGTGGGCTTGGAGGTTTCAAACTCATACCAGGCCCAGCATATCTCTCTCTCTCTCTCTCTCTCTCTCTCTCTCTCTCTCTCTCTCTCTCTCCCCTCCCTCTCTCTTTCTCTGTCTCTCTGTCTTTCTCTTTCTCCCTCTCTCTTTGTCTCTCTGTCTATCTCTCCCTCTCTCTCTCTCTGTCTCCCTCTGTCTTTCTCTGTCTGTCTGTCTCTCTCTCTCCCTCTCCCTCCCTCTTTCTCTATCTCTCTATCTTTCTCTTTCTCCCTCTCTCTTTGTCTCTCTGTCTATCTCTCCCTCTCTCTCTCTCTGTCTCTCCCTCTGTCTTTCTCTGTCTGTCTGTCTGTCTGTCTGTCTATCTCTCTCTCTCTCTCTCTCTGTCTCTCTGCCTCTCTGCCTCTCTCTGCCTATGGATCAGGATGTGGCTCTCAGCTACTACTCTGGTACCATGCCTGTCACCATGCTTCCACCATGATGATAATGTACTAACCCTCTGAAACCGTAAGCCATCCCCGATTAAATGCTTCCTTTTTAAGAGTTACCTTGGTCCTGGTGTCTCTTCACAGCAATGTAACAGTGACTAAGACAATGAATGTGTGTGTATGTATGTATGTATGTATGTATGTATGTATGTATTTTTGAGACAGGTTTCACTGTGTAGCCTGGGCTGGCCTCAAATTTGTCAGCCCCCTGCCTCTACCTTCTGAGTGCTAGGATTACAGGTGTACATCATCTTGCCTGCCTATGGCTTTTGCATTGAAGAGA